AAGAAAAAAGCAAGCAATTTCTATAGACAATCTCTCCTTTGCCTCACCCTTCCCCTCCCACCCCTCCACAGAGCAGAGAGATTGGAGAGGAAGAGATTTCAAGAGAGTACTGTTAGCTGTTTGCTTAGCGTGCCCAGCTCCCAGCCCCAGGCTCCTGGCGCAGTCACATTGCTTTTGATGTAGAAGAGCAAACAGCTTACTTTCTTGCAATCCTTTTCTCTGCAGTCTCTCTGCTCTATGAAGGAGAAAAGAAAGAAAAAAACACAGGTCAAGCACAGGCAATGCATTCTTGACTGTAATGGTGATCATGTGACTGAGGGACGCTGCAAAGGTTGTAAATGGTCATAAATGGGCTGTAAAGTTATTTTTTTCAGCACCATTGTAACTTTGAATGGTCACTGAATGAACAGTTGGTAAGTGAGGACTACCTGTATATAATTCCTTGGTTTATAACATTACATTGTTAATCACTACTTCAGTATCTGTAATTATGAGGCAGAAACTACTGAGGAATTTTGGTGACCTCTTTATAGAATGGGGGAGTAGTAGTTTTCCTTCTTATGTGTCCTCTCTCAGAATTGGCTCCAGAGGACAAAATTAGAGGGTGTGCAGGAACTGTTGGAGAAAAGAGAGTGAGGGAAAATCCCACTGCAAAGGGACAAAAATTGTGCAATGGAGTCCATCTTTGCTCTTCCAACCATGACTTTTTTGAGCAATTTATTGAGCAGTTCTTAGTATTCTTTTGTTACTTGTACTTTATTTAATATCATATGTAATATTTGAACATCAGTTTTTACAACATGTCTTCCCTAAGAAACTATAACAAGAATAGACTAGTTTCTAATCCTATATTAAAACATAAACTTCATAGCTGTTGAATAGCACCAGGGTTGGATTGGCTACAAATAAAATTATTACCTTCATGCCAATGAAGAATAGCAGTTTTTTTCTCATTAAGCTGTACATATCAGGGTAGTTTGCCAATAGGCCCAAAAATGCCACACTGTCTGTGTTTGGATTTGAAGGTGTAACATAGAGGGCAAGAAGGCAGGTTGAATCATCATCTCTGTGTTGCTCCAGGATTTCTTGGGGCATGAATTGCTGGCATGGCTCTGTATAATTTGGAATTCTGTTGTAAAATTTAGGAACTATTTACTGCCCAAGGCCCAAGTGTTACTATTTTCAGATTGAATTACAGCAACTTTGCACACGCATTTATCTTTTATTGAGTTTTGTTGTAGAGTGCAATAGCCCTGCAACCAACTTTTAGAAATTTGGGGCCTGTGGCCAGGTGGGAAGAGGTACAGTGTTTTTTTTTATGTGTATGATTTTGCATTTGCTTTTTAGCATCAACTCTTACATGATTGCCAGATTTTAGAAGACTCCAAGCCATAAACGGTATCTTGCAGTTTGTGTCAAGCTTTGTCAGCTATTGATTTCTTTTCAAGGCCATAGTTAAGAAAATAAGGACAAAACCCGAGGGCTGCACCTTAGCTGTGATTTATACTGTTTGTTGCTATGGATTAAATCAATCTCTTCTAAGGGGTCATGCTGCCATATTTTAAAAGAACCCTTCTGTGCTTGTGTGACTTGTTTATGAGGTGGCAGCAGGGCTGTAATCTGTTTTATAGAAAGGCTTGCCCTGTAAAGGAGTAGACAGGATAAACGTACTGTTATGGTTTAAAGTCCAAAAGTTATAGTTACATAGATCAAACATAGGAGGATCTGTGTTCCTGTGGGTGACTGTACCGTTGCAGGGGAGAGCTATCAAACAATGCTTCTTCACAGCTCCTTTTCCCTTCCTTCTTTTATGGATTGGATAGGACAGACACCCCCAGTTAAAACAGTTGCAATTTTGAGGGAAATGTAGTTGGTGGATTCCTAAAATGGCTGCAAGAAGTTTGCAGTCAATTCCAAATCCGCCATTTCACCCATTTAAAAAGCCAAACTGGAGGAGTGAAAGGCAGATTACTTGCATGAGGATGTCAGTAAACAAAGTGGGGAATGTGCCCCCAAATTGAACCTACAGGATTAGTTCTTGTTCTTTTTCTTGCACATGTTCAGGAATACTTTACAAAGCCTGACTACACATTTGTAGCTATTGAGCCTATTTATCACTAATCATTTCTTTGCCTCCTGAACTCTCTCCTGCTTTCTCCCTGCGTTCATCAACCTCGTGTTTCTGCTGTTACTCCCGTCTCCCTGCTCTTGCTACCCTGTTTGATCACCATCCTTTTATGGATTTGTATTGCTGTGGCCAGCAGTTGGGATAATCAGAAGGGGCTCTGATTTAGTTTCCTACCTTTTTATTAGACTGAAGGGTAGATTTTTGTTTGTAAAATTTACATTGTGTTCCTTATATTAACTCTTGGACAAGCAGTATAAACTGGTGCGGGAACTGAAAAGCAGAATGAAGAACATGGAATATATTGCAAAGATACGGAACAAACAAATTCACTGAGAAAGAGAGAAGGGGGGACAAACGATAGTGTCAAAGGACTGGATTGATAACTGAGCCCAAGCTTTATAAAGTTCTTTTATTCCTTCCACAGGGCATACAAAACCATTGAAGAGGATGACTTGAAGTTTCCCCTTATATATGGAGAAGGCAAGAAGGTGGGAATAAGTGTTTTGTCAAAGGAACATGAGGGGTGCATCATATTTACTACTCAATTTAGCCCTGTTTGGCATTTTCTACTGTCTTCACTTTTTTATTTTTCTGATGGCTTAGAAGAATATTGTGTTTCTTATAATTCAGTTCTTAGGGTTCATGAGAAATGAAGATGCCTGTTTCAGAGAAAAGCAGTTTAATTACTTTTACTGCTGAATTGTCTTTTTTTGCTTGCTTTTTGTTTGATTTACGTGAGTATGCATTTGAAGGAAGTTAGGATTTTGAAAAGAAAAAAAAGTTTGGATAGGCAGTTCTGTCATTTGATTATAAAGTTACATGTGATCTTTTAAATTGGGAAAAAAGCAAAAAGGTTTTTTTATTGGGCTTGAGCAGTTTTTGATATGTGGAGATCAAATAAGTTTGTGGTAATAAGGACACCTGTTGCATGCCTAATTACTAGGGTTTTTTAAAGCTGTACCCACAGTTCATTCTTGGAATAAAATTTTCTTTCAGGGATGGGAATCAAAGACTGACAAATACTTCTGTCAAAATAGCAACCTATTGCCAAATACAGAATTAGAAAAAAAAAATGATTAGCACTGACTCCTGCAATTCTGACCATGTGGATTTAGGATCAGTATGAGGACACTGTGATCTCAAGATTGTTTTTGTTTGCTCATCACATTTATAAGCCCTTCTCCAGTGGTTTGACTGCTTATTTGAATTTATCATACAGATTTCAGTGTTGGTTTAGCTGTGCTGTTCAGCCCTGCTGTGGCTTACCTGTATGTTTTGATGAGATTTTTGTTTTCAAAAATATTTCTGCACCTGCTACTTTCAGTTTATTTTCTTTTCTCTCTGTGTGTGTCCTTAACAGCCCTTCTTCCCATTTTGTACATACTTTAGAAGAATTTAGTATTTCTGAAAAGCGAGTTCTTCATAGGTAACCCAAAAAATCCCACACTGTAGCTAAGGGAATTTGAGAATATCACAACAGTGATATTAAAGGGTGACAGTTGTTGGGAAGGAAGACTCAAACTCTGCTTTTTCTTTAGATTGTAAAAAAATAATATTTGTTTATATCAGTCATTCTCAAAGTGTGTTCTGGGACCCCTGGGGGTCCCTGAGACCCTTTCAGGGGGGTCCACGAAGTCAAACAAAGAAATATTTTAAAACTTACCACTTTTAATTTCTAATACAATAAATATTTATAGATATAACCCACATAAACCAAAGCTCTTTGGGGTCCTCAATCATTTTTAAGAATGTAAAGGGGTCCTGAGGCCAAAATGTTTGAGAACCACTGGTTTATACTATGAATAGTGGTGACAAACACCCTGCTGCAAGGTGTGTATGAAGAAAGCCACACAGCCACCATGCTGCTTTTCTTTTCTAATAAGGTGTCAATTCACATCTAGTTTGCAATTCTGAAAACAAAACTTTGAATAAGATTAGCCTTTGCTGTGATTAAATATATAAGAATGTAAGAGGATTCCTAGTCCTTAATTTATGTTATCCCACTGGCTAACCAGATACATACAGAACAGTCATAAGACAGAAGACAACAACTTTTTCAACTGTTGACATTTAAGGTATGCTACTGGGTGTCAAATGATAGCATATAGCACTTAGAACAAATAGCTTCTTTGAAATCATTTAAAGTGGTAGCATTCAATAGCATCTAATTCCATAGTTTTACTATGTATTGTTAGGCATCTTTTACTGCTCAAGAATCTTCCCCCTAGTCTTCTCCAGTGTTCTCATGCTTTTATGGTGTATATCTCTTCCCAGGCTCGTGTCATGGCAACTATTGGGGTTACTAGAGGACTTGGAGATCATGACCTGAAGGTGCATGACTCAAACATCTACATCAAACCTTTTTTGTCCTCATCACCAGAGGTAGGACATTCACATATCTGTTATGGAGGAACATGAATTAAACCAGTGTTTTCTTTAAAAACAAGTGAAACATGTACAAAATTCCTTGTGTTAATATTTACGCATGCAAAAAGCGCATCCACATGAAAAGTACTTAAGTTAAAAAATATTGTTATTACTTAAGGAACAGATGGTCAAACTATATAGGCCATTATATTCAGTGGGGCTTACTTAGTATAGGTTTTCTAACCTAAGAATGTTAGAACAAGTGGGTTAGTCACATCTTTTTTATTGTAAATCTGCAGGCAAGATCTGTCTTATTCTTTTTTTAACACATATTTTATGATTTTGGTGTTGTTTTTTATCTGTAAACCAATCTGAGCCTTTCTGGTTGAAAAGGAGGGTGTATGTGTAAGTAAACAGACATAAAGTCATTTAGAAAGTCCTTTTTTTTTTAAATGGAGGTAGATACCTTGTAAGGCTCTGACATACTGTACACATATTGTAGAAGGCTAGTTATAGAAATCATAGCTTGTTCTAGGAGTAGCAATTCCTTCCAGCTACTGAAACTGATGTTTTAAGGTTGTAAGGGTGGGGGTATGATGGGGAAGTCCTATTTTTATGAATTGTTTTTTATTAAGAGTGACCTAGAATCAGTGTAATATTGGGAAACATATTACAGTTTTCTGCCTCTAACATGCATCACTCCCTATTGCCTACTAGATAGGTAGTCAAAAGCATGCCATAAATGTAAGTGATCCCCTCTTCCTCTTTTCTACACTGACTCAATATAAGGCAGCTTTGTGTGTGATTACAGTGGTACCTTGGGATATGAACTTAATCCGTTCCGTGACTCTGGGCGTATCCTGCGTTGGTCGTAACCCGACGCAAATTTCCCCATAGGGTTCAATGTAATTACCGTTAATCTGTTCTGGCGTCCGCGGACCACGCGTCAGGGGCGGGAAAATGGCCGGGCACTGCGCCGCGCGGCAGGAAAACGGCCGGGTGCCGTGCGGCGCGGCGGGAAAATGGCCGCGGACTATGTGTCAGAGGCGGAAAAATAGCCGCGGACCACGTGTCAGGGGCGGAAAATGGCCGCGGACCACGTGTCAGGGCGGAAAAATGACCGTACCCCGAGGCGGAGTTCGCACATCGAGGTAAATTGTTGCGGCCGGAGCCGGTCGTAACCCGAAAAGTTCATTAGTAGAAGCGTTCGTATCCCGAGGTACCACTGTATATACAATATGATGTTTGACTTCTAGTTCATGAAGCAAATCTTGTCAATCAGTTGTCTTAGTAACTCCATAATTATAACCTGGTTGATGTCTTCATATGCCACAGATTCAGTTATCAATTTAAATGGAGTTGAATGCTTGGTACTCATTTTGTGGCCTCTTAATTCACTTCATTTTGGTCCGAAAAATTAAATGACCCAATTTTGCTCTGCAGACTAGCATTTATATATTGCCTATATTTGTGTCTGATTGCCAGGGTTAATTAGAAAGCTATAAGCTAAAGCACAATTCTCCAGATGTTGCAGCTTAATTTCAGTATTAGATGCCTTAGCTTTCCTGGGTTTTTCTGTGTTCAAACCTCAAATGTCCTTTAAATAAAGACCTTGCATTGAAAAGTAGACTAATTTTGCATTTGTCAGCATGTTAGAACTATGTTGCTATAAAGAGGCTAAAGCAACCATGCCCTGTGTATGGTGTATCTCAGGGTTCTAGGAAACTAAGCAGATTCTGCAAGCCTGAAGAAAAAAAAAAAAGATATGAGTTATGTCTGTTAGCAGTGAGTTTTCCAACTTCTGGATTTTAGTTTTACCATTTTGATAATTTTAATGAGGATTGAATAATCAATCCTCTTGCATTGTCACAATATATCCCAAACCATCACTAGAGCACTGATCCTGTCAACTACACGGCTAATTCAAGATTACAGACTAGGTGCACTTTCTTCTAAATCCTGGTCTAAATGGTAATTTCCTCTTGCTGCTGTGATAAGGTTACTTCACTTCTTTAAAAATACAGTCAATGTGAAGTAATTAAAACCCTTGATAAGTAACTCAGTGAAAGGTTTTTTTTTTAAATTCAAGGAGCCAGGTGATTTGACAATGAAAAGTATGTATAGGCAGTGAGAAAACTGGTGTTTTACAAGAGACAATTGAAAAACATAAGGTATTTTTTGACCTTCATGACAGTTCAGTAAAATCTAGTAACTCAGCCAAGAAATGTGTTATACCACATGCAAAAGAATTTCAGATATCATTTTTTTTTGTAAGCAATCTGCATGCACGACTGTGAGGAATAATCTGCATGTGAGAATAGTTTTAAGCAAGTCTCTGTTTTTTCAACATCTAAACTTTGTAATGGTCTCCTAATCAATATATTTTTGAAGCTGAAAGATTTTTTTTACAGATTTTAGAACCTGAGTTCTTTCAAAGAAGAACAGCCTTTCCAACCTGGCGTTTTCCTTTTTTGGTTTGGGCTACCACCCCCAAGTTAACTTGGTCAAAGGCTGAAATTACAAGATTAGACTACAAAGCATCTAGAGGGAAGTAAATTGAAGCAGACTGAGGAATAAGTTAGAACTTGGGGAGACGATTGTGTGCCCAAAATTTGACTTCTTGATAAAGAAATAAAGTACCATTTCTAGAAACAGGTAGACATAATGCCCATTCCATAAAAGCTCTTGTATTTTTTGTTTCCATGGTTTATTTTTTTCAGGTAAGAGTATATGATCTTCTCCACTATGAGCATGGACCAGATGATGTGCTAATCTTAGCTACAGATGGACTCTGGGATGTACTATTAAATGAAGAAGTAGCAGAAGCTGTCACTAATTTCCTGCCAAACTGTGACCCTGATGATCCACACAGGTATGTCGCCTCTCTTCTGTAAAGTTATCTTTGAAACCGTCCTGCTTTTTCCTAAGGATAAAATGAGGGTATTTTTTTACAACATGATTAGCTTACCACTTAGAACAAAAAGCATTTTCACTGTGGTTTTAGTACTGTATTTCACAAGGGGCTAAATTTAGTTATATGGTTTTAAAGTGAATACAAATAAATAAAAATAAACAAGTTTATTATAAACAAATTATGTGATGGAATCAATTCAGTTTGCGCCAAAGCAAATTTTATTGATTTCTGGATTCCAAAAAGTTAGACAGTGAAATAAGAGATTCATTCTGGATTCCTGTCTGCACATGCTTACAATTTAGGGATGAGCTTTTGTGAGGTATAGATTAATTTAGGAAGTTCAGGTGTTCCTTAAAAGCTGACTAAAGCTGTTCTGTGCCCTGTAGGGAAGAAGATCCATTTTCAAAAACATTTCAGCTGATCCACTTTCCATCTCTGATATTCAGTCATCTTTTTATGTGCTGTAAAGACAAAGATGAATGCCTGTATATAGCAGTGACTGATGGACTGATTGTATGGTCAGAAGTTGAAAAATGCAAGCACACAGAAATCCTAGGACAAACATCTTGCTAATAGTGCCAGTATATGAATTGTTAATAAATGTCAGTTTTGGTAGGAAGGGGTATTAAACAGGAAGTCATATCTGAATTGATCCATAACTGCAGATCTTAAAAAGATACACTGACAGTTGAGCATTATTGTATTCCTCATGTATTTTGACTAAAAAAGCAAAGTGAATAAATTGCACAAGCTTCTGTTTTGTAGACTTGTAATGCAATGCATACTTAGACTCAGCCCCTAATAAACATCCGTAAGGTTGCAGCTTTCATGCTACCTAGAGCCCCAACCAAGCAAGGCAAGTATGTTAAGTATCATGTGTAGATATGTATGCAAAGTAAGTAAAGGCAGTCATTAGATTGCAAAGAAGAGAAATGTTTGGATATAAGAAATACTTCTACAGCTTGCCACCTATTCACAAGCATTCTGTCTTTTGATTTGGGAACTGCTTTTATTTGACCTAAACACAGTGTCATTTTTGACACATGACAAACTAATTCTTAAATGTTTTGCTTCTCAATATCACATCTGTATGTCTGCATACACACACACGCGTGCTCATGCACATAGACGCACTTGATAAGGTCCACACTCTTAGTAGAAGATATCCTATGTCTCAATAAAGCAACTGAAAATAATACATCAGTAATACAGTACTCTGAAATTTGAGTACATCTTTTGGCCTTTTTTTTTTAAAGTGACATAATAGTGGTGGATCTTAAGGACAGTTTAGTGCTATGTCTCATTTTTCTTTCTGCTCTTCTCTTATTGTTGTTTGCACTAAGATTAGCTGTTTCCTTTTCCAGGTTGCAAATAAAAATGGACAGTTCAGATTGCTTGCCAGGAGTGCCTTTTGTTGTCTTTGCAGTAGTTCCACGATCAATATTAGAAGCTTCACGGGGAAGCAAATGTATATTCCGAAGTGCTATACTGATTAGGTACTTCATTAGGGAGGACTAATTGCTTGAAAGCTACTTCAGCAATTTTGTAAAGTTGCTTTAAAAGTTACATTCCAAATTCACATTAGAGGAGAAAGCATGCTGTAATGCTGTTATTGATATTAATCCTCAGGTTACTTGGAACATCTCCTTGCTTGTTTATTGCCAAGAAGGAAAAGCAGTCTTCATTGCTTTAATAGACATGCTTTATCTATTTTCTATCAATTTTTACTTACATTTGCTTGCTCTTGTTTTATAACCTTAACATTGTTTGCAGTCTTCATTGCTTTAATAGACATGCTTTATCTATTTTCTATCAAGCAGTCTTCATTGCTTTAATAGACATGCTTTATCTATTTTCTATCAATTTTTACTTACATTTGCTTGCTCTTGTTTTATAACCTTAACATTGTTTCCTCTGTAATATATATATATTTTAACTATTCAGAATCTCTTATACTGAGTTCCTTAATTTTCATTACACTTAAAGCAACTTCATATTTAAAGGATACAAAGATTATAAGCCTTTTCTAGTTCTACTGTATTGGTTATACTTGTTCTAGATCACAAATAGCCAACTTGGTGTGTTCTAGATACTTTGAACTCCTGTTGGCTTCAGCCAGTGTGGGCAGGGGCAGAGATTGTGGGAGATATAGTCCAGAATACCTGAAATGGATGACTACCCTGCTATATATCTCAATAGTTTGGGTTTTGGAGCCTTCCGGTTCTAGGACTATGCCATCTTTGGTGCTGGATGGGGTGGTGCTGCCCCAGACAGACCCGGTGTGCAATCTGGGGGTCCTCCTGGACTCATGACTCCTGCTCGAAGGGCAGGTGGCACTTGTGGCTAGGAGGGCCTTTCCACAGCTTTGTGTTGTGCACCAGTTGTGCCTGTTCCTGGATCAGAGGGCTCTGCTCACTGTCACTCATGCCCTAGTCACCTTCTGATTGGACTTGTGTAATGCGCTTTGCATAGGGCTGCCCTTGAAGAGTATCCAAAAGCTTTATCTGGTGCAAAATGCAGCGGTGTGGGCAGTTATGTGTGCCCCTAGAATGGCACAAATTATACTTCTGCTCTGTGAGGTGCATTGGTTGCCAATTTGCTTCCAGGACCAAATTAGGGTGCTGGTTTTAAGCTTTAAAGCCCTTCATGCCATGGGGCCGGGCTATCTGAGGGACTGCTTCTCCCCAGTTATATCTGCCCATCCCATCAAATCTGGCAGAGAAGGTATACTGCGGGTCCCCTCGGTCAGGGAACTACACTTGGCGGGTCCCAGGAGGCAGGCCTTCTCTGCCATGGCACCAGCCTTATGGAATCTTCTCCCCCCTGGAAGTGAGGTTAGCTCCATCCCTCTTACCATTCTGCAAGTCCCTCAAGATCTGGCTATGCCATTAAGCCTGAGGATCCCAGGGGACCAGGTAGATCTTGTGATGGCTCTCTTATTGCAGCTAACATCATCCTCTCTTGCTCTTGTGCTATTTATAGTTTATATAATGAATATTTTAATATATTTATTGGTTTTTTAAATTTTGTATGCCGCCCAAAAATCTCACATTTTTTTGTGAGATGGACGGCCATACAGATTTGATAAATAAATATGAAATAAAATGTTGTTGCATATATTTCGGTAGCTATTTATGCCAGGTTAATTGCCTCTTGGCCCATATAAATTATCTTTTGGTCTTCTGCCATATGATGCAGGATAAAGGATCCCTGCTCCTTTTGGAAAGAAAAAAGAAATAAAATTCAGAGATACTAAACAGACAATAGAAATCTTCTATTTATAGTACATGTATTATATGAAATATGTACACATATTGTCAGTATCTTATAATTAGGCATCATGTTTTATTTCAGTCTGTATGTTTTCCAAAATGGGGAAAAGATTTAACTCCCTTTTGCAGCATTCTAGTCCTGATTCAGTTTGGATTCCCCTAATGTGGCAGGAAATGTAGTAACAGATCTCTCAGCATCTTCTCTAGTTTAACCTGTGGACTTCAAATTTGCAGTTTTGCCTCTTGTGATCATAATGAAGTTTCCTAATGCCTAGTCAGACTTGTCCTACCTTGCTCAAGGCACCAAGGCTAACAACTTTCCAGGTGTTTAGATTGGAATATTTTTCCTTCCACACTGGAAATTCATCTTGTGCTTACTTGTGTGCAAACTATGTGCTCACCTGCTGAGCTATAGCTTTTTTCAAAGTATTAATTCAGAACATTTGGTTCTGGCTGGAGACTATGAATAAAGTAGTTAAATTTGAACGTTGATAATGTGAATTTATAGTGATTAATATGCCCTGTCTACCAAACAGTAAAAATCCTTTTTTAACAGCAATTTTCAATCTTTACCTACAGGTACACACTAGCAGCTCAGGATTTGGTAATGCGAGCTAGGGGAGTGCTGAAGGACAGAGGCTGGAGGATATCCAATGACCGACTGGGCTCAGGAGATGACATTTCGGTCTATGTCATTCCTTTAATACATGGAAACAAACTCTTGTAAAAGCAGCACCAGTGCTAGTAATAGGAAATGTTTGAGTCTTACCAAGGACCTTTGGAAAAAACAGTCTGTTGATAAATGAGAGTAGTGGTTCAAACATAAATTCTCTTAAGCTTGATTGACCTGAACTGTTTGTACCTGAAATCTAGGGCTGATTTGTACATAATCTCTTAGAAGTTGCAGCTTCCCTAAGCTTATATTATTGGTACATATCAGGACCAGAACTTTAATGCTGCTAGTATATTAGTGCTTTCTTTTTAATGTGCCTCCTGGTGAGGACACTGTTGTGATCTGACTGAATTTATTTTTCCCAGTTTAATGTAGCCTAAAATGCTAAATGAGATGTGAATTGGGAAGATCATAATTGAAACTGGATAGGCAGCCTTTATTTTCCAATCTCTCTGTAAGCTGACTTTAATTTAGAACACATTTAATTTATAAATTACTAAAGTTAGGAAAACCTGATACTCTATTTAGGTATTGTTTGCTGAAGATAGTGATGTTTCAATGGAGAATTTCTAGAGGGTTATGCATATGAATTGAAGCTTTTTTCCTCTATACTGTAATGAAAATGTTCAGGTCCTTCTATGTGCTTGGGTGATGAAATCAGCTTTTTTTCTGGGTTCAGTCTAGCACCTGTCAGTAAAGTTGCCTAAGAGAATAGGGAAATATTGGGTGGTAAATCTATTTTTGTGTTATCTTTTTGTCAAGTGTGTAGCTATAATGTAGCAGACTGGGAGATTCTTTTTACTTAATATTTATTTGGTATCAGATATTTTCATGCATTAGATGCTTAGGTCTCCTCTGTATACAGTATTCCTATTGAAATAATTTTCCTACAAATACTGTTTATTTGGATGTACTGGATAAATGTTTGTCTTGTTTATTCTTTAGCTATTTAATGGTAGTGAGTTTTAGAACATTCCTTTAGAACAATGAGCTTCTCCCCTTTTCCTATTATACTCTTTGAGCATTCATTCCTTTTACTGCTTCTATTGTATTCCATTGCCAGGATGCAGTAGGTAAAACTGTAAATTATAAATCCATGTAGTATAGCAAGAGGTTTTGAAGAACAACAAGCTTCATCAGTTTGTTTGTAATTGTCAATATTAATAAAATATCAAAATATCAAATAGATGGTAACAAATATTCCAGTAAGAAACTTACTCAAGCAAAGTATTCACAATTATATACACATCATGCAAGCCACCTCTTCTGGAATAAGATGCTTGAGTTGGATTCCTCAGGTATTATCTTCTCAGTCAAGAAATATAGTAACACATCCTGTATCATTTAAAATGTAAATGATATGACTGGAAAATAGTGATCAACTTTTGAGAGATCTAAAATATTTTAAATATTTTCCAAAAAAGAAGCTTTCAGCATAACAAGGAAATGGTTCTACATGTTTTCATGTCTTTTTTCTTTAACACTTCTCCCATCTTCATAGTATTAAGCTGAACTATAATATTTTTTGTGGGGCAGGCATTTCATATGCTGCCTTTGCATCAATACAGATGTTTTTTCAGTAGGGTACTGCTACTGTAAATAAGTTTGAATCTGTAATTGAACAGTTCAGAAGATAATTAATCAATGATATCAACTAAATCTGTATGCAATAACACATTTAATAGCGGGCTTCATGAAATCTTAAATTGTTATAAACAACGTTTCATTGTGTATAGTCTTTTCAACTGTGTAAAGAAATGTGGATGTGGATGTCACACAGAATGCACTTTTGCATTCACAGTATGCGCTTTTCAGTTCAGGTAATTTTTAATTTAGGTTGATATTCAGTTTTATTTCATGCACATTTGTGAAGTCAATGTTTCCTGGATAAAATACTGTCACTGGCTCATCATCACTTTCTAACGTAATATGTGTGTGGGAAAAATGTGCTGTGTTGTCTGTCTTCATTCTGCTTTTAACATATTCCTCACCTCTAAAACCCTTTTTAGAAGCAAACCATCCCACTAGTTAATTAAAACTACAGATTTAATTTTTATGTTACTCTACCACATGGGCACGTTGTATTTTATTACAGTCCTACTAGACACCTGGGCATCAAAATGGCTCAGAATAATCAATAGCAGGAATTGTATGCATTTACCACTAATATATTATCTGTGCAGTTACTTTTTTTGTAATCGCTGGGATTTCCAGTAATCTAATAATACACAACACAGATTCAATTCCAGTGTTGTGATTTTACATTAGTTCTTTGCAGATGCTACTTAATTTGCATAATGAAAAACATGGGTATCTGTAGAAGCTTCCTGCTTTCATCAGAATTATGAAAGGAGCATCGTGCCATTGTGTTACAACCTCCACCTCTTGGATGTACTGTGACATTATGACATAGGTACAAAAGGGATGGAGTTTGCATCATGACAGTGCCACATTGCTTTTGTCAGTCTATCCCTTTACACCCTCCCCCCCAATAATATATCCATTAGCAATATCTTCAAAAGTAGTCTTAGAAATGACTGCCTTGTTTTTTTTCCAGCAGCAGCAGTATAATAAAATAAAACAATCAAAATAATAAAACAAAAAGAAGCAGATTATAAATACCTTTGCAATGGATTTGTCTTAATAACACTGTAATGGCTACCAAGTGCTTCCTGGAAATACCAAAGTCCTACTCAGGACTTTACAATGAAAAGAAATGTAGTCATGTCAGTCTAATGCACATCAAATAACACTGACTCCCTTAACTAAATTCAGAAATTTAAGCTGACGCTGAGACTTTCCTCCATCTGTACTGGTGCAGAGCTTCTTCAAACTCTTTGGTCTTGTTCGAAAAGAATGTTTTTGAGTCAGCAATGGTTCCCTCTCCACCCTGAAAGAGTTTTCTATATGTCTTTGAGTAGTATCCAGATAGACATAAGTGGCAGTTACTTATAAATCTTTCCAAAGCATTTGGTCTTCTAGAATGGTACTCTGTTGAAGGAACTGTATCAACTCCTGCAGCTTCTGCATCTGATAGAGTTGAAGTGGATCTCATGCCATACGTTTGATGATTAGACTGCAAATTAAACACTTGCCAAGATCAATAGAGAGGTATCAGAAAGTATCTCTGTTTTTTAATTGAGAAAAGAAAGTTCCACTGGGATAGCAAAACCTAGCATAGACTTCTATAACACTCACTTATAAATAAATACATGTGAAGTAATACTCCAATAATTTGTATTAATTATGTCATAGAAATTATTATTATTTAGAGTAGGCTTCCCCAGATGTACTAGACTACATTTTCCTAATAGCATCTCGGTTATATTGGGCCTTGGTCATTTGAGGTATTATTGGAGGAATTGTCCAGCACATATGGAACAAAACAAGATGAGGAAGAATACCTTAAAAATAATGATGCTATTTCAACTATTTTATACACCAAAATATTGAAAATTACATTTAAAAGTAACCAGGCTGTACCTTCACTTAATATACATTACTGTATATTAAGGACCTTGAAGCGGTGTTGGTAAATAAAATTGAATACCCAATTTCACTCCCTCTGCCCCCAAACTGGGGAAACTCATTTTTTAAATAATGGCTAAGTTAAAACCAAACTCAAAATATTTCTAGGAAAATATACATTCAGATAAAATGCAGAAGAAATTCCTTGTCTAATGGAGCAGTTTAAACGATCCATGATATACTTGGTATATCAGTTGGTATCAAGTCAACAACTTGGATCTCTCAGAATTCGAAGAGATGTATTATTGCATTATTAGGTTTAGGTTTGACAACTGTAGTCTAAAATTTCCTTTATTGAATTAAGCAGTACTTTTTGAATGATTCTTATAACATTTGCTTCCAATTGTAGCTAACAACTGTAATGTTTTTAATGAAATATTCCAACTCAGATGATCCAAGATCTTGTTTTCAGTACTCACCAGTGCCCATGAAAAGGTACATCTTCATTACAATCTAAGACCAGCAGCATATGACAGGTGATCTTGGACTACAAGCAATATTGAAATGGTTTGCATCAAGAGTTGTCAAAGTGCTGAAAGTAGTCTTTGTATGTATTTTCTTTAAGGTTTGATTCTTATTTTTGATAATGAAGCACTACAGCCCTACCAAGTCCAGTTTGGTACTTTTGCCCTTTGTACATGCACTGTTGCAGTTTGCATCTTACAAACATTTGCACACTCTCAATTCATTTTGCTTTTCTTTCAATTGAAGAGAATATGATGGATCTGATGTTGTAGGCAGTGGCCAAATACCTCTTCAATCATTCTGCCAAATTCTACTTGCATTTTACTTGAAGGAACCCTTTCCCTGCCAACCTCTACTTTATTTTGTTCCATTGTATTTCATTTTAATTCAGCAGCTGCCCATTATTTTGGTGGTACAGTGACTGTACTTATGGAATATATTATTTTCTAGGTTCAGCATTCTAAATGATGAAAATAATTTGATGGATAAAAATGATTTAGATTAATGTACTTAACATTGTGACTGTGAAATGTCAAACTTTTTGTAACTTAACAAAAATGTTTAGCAAAGGGATATATTTTATGTGTTTTGAAAACTTTTCAGTGCAATGTAATTAAGGAAGCTGAAAAACCAGAAAAATGTATGCACAATGAAGTTTTAAAATGAAATTGTAAAAAAAAAATAAACATAAAAACTTATTTTGGCTCTTTATTTTAGGTGGTATTTCTTCTATGGGATTGATAGCTGATTGGTAAAAGGACAGGGAAATTTGCCAGTGATGATAGGAAATCAAATCAAGAAAGTCCCAATCAAGAGCAATCTGTAGTATCATATTTTAATGTGATATTTATGTATTTTTAAAATTTGTATGCCGGCCATCTCCTCCCCTGATTTAAATTGTTTTGTCAAGTTCTATAAGTCAGTCAGCATTTATGGTTGCTGAAAAGAAAACATTACAGAAAAGACAACTGATGTAAGCAAATTTTGCAAATGGTGAAACTTAAATTTTACTATTAAGAGCTCATTTATGCAGTTCTAAATTCCAAAGTCCTTAACTGTATTATTATATGTATCATTTAGTCTAGCTGATGTAACTGTAAAGATCTATCGAATAATAATTTTCTTTAGGAAAGGCTGAGAGCAGAAATTTGCTATGAACTATTACTTTAAAACAGTTAGTGTTTGTTTCTGTCAATAGATGACATGATAAAGTAATAAGTTTACTTTACCTAAAACTAGAAAATGTTTTCTACTACATTTGTTTTCACATAGTGAAATGTATCATTTATATTCCTGAAATCTGACTTGTGAGGCAAAAATCGATACAGCAGTTATTACTGCTATTCTGCAAACAACTACGAAGACGTGAAGACACTAAAGAGGGCTTTGAAAGCATTCTGTTATCAGAATCATTGGAAAGATCAAAATTGCTTCAAGTAATTTCAAGAAGCTTAAAATAAATTTATATTATTGTATAATAGATACAATATATAATTATATAATCTCAACTGTATCAATATACATTAATATAATTTATACAATTATATGCTGTTGGGAAATTTTCTAATCTGCATGTTATGGCTATACTCTTGCTTTTCTCCCTGTACATTTTGGGATATATAAGTTCAGTGTACAAGTTTTTTGTTTGGTAAAAATGTGCTAAAGGAAACCAACAGGAAGGATGTATTACTTACTGCTCACAAAATTGCATTCATTTCATTAGTCTGGGCTTCATTTTTATTGAGTATTATCACAAGTCAGTATGCGCTATTCCCTTCATCCCAGCAGTGCTTCTTCCTTGCTAGGCTGCAGTCTTTCACCTAAGGAACAAACGCAGTCTGCCTTTAGAAACAAGCTAGGGAAAGCATGCAGAGCATGGCTTCTAGACTTCTTTACAAGCAGTGGCCATAGAAGCATCTCTATTTTCTTGTGTAACAAAGTAGAGTGCGTTTGCACACATACTTCTCCCCAGGGATTAATCAGGGCATGTGCATATAGGTTGCTTGTGTGTGTATGTATGTGTGGTGTGTGTGTCTAATTGGGGAGCTTATGTATTGCTTCTCTCTGTGTGTTTTTAATTTCCATTCCTTTTGTATCTGGGTGCGAAAATAGGGAAAAGAACCTGTTTTTCTACTAGCACTGCATGTGCAAATTCCTATCAAGAGAAATTGAAGAGCTAATCAGTCACTTTGTAAGTCAATCTGTAGAATCATCAATAGCCATTAATGACTATTTCCACAGCATAATGTAGATGAAGTTGCATGTATCCATTCTGCTCTGGTTAGATTTTAGTAACTGATTGAATATCACTACATTTTACTGAAGATGTAGACAGGGATATTTAATACACAGCCTGTTTCTTCAAATCTTGAGATACACTTTTCCTAATTGTGCAGTTACTTATGTGTCACCTTATGTGTCTAAGATAAAACTTTTAAAAGCAGTAAAATAATATTTAGCAAATTAGGAATGGAGGATAAAATTAGATAAAAAGAGTAGTATTAATTCTAAAGTCAATAAAAGCCAGACAATAATAAATGCGGAAAATTATAGATGAAAGGGCTCCAACCTCCTTACAGTTCAAGATCCCAACAGTAAAATGACCAGGGAATAATGAGTAATGGGGCTGCATCAACAGCAAAGATAAGTAATTAAAGTGTTTTAACTATTTCAATTAAAATAATTTGAACCAGGCAACTATAGGAGTGATTGCAGATAATTTTACAATCTCTGAAATCCTGTTACAGAAAAAAGTACAGCACCTATAGTACTTGTGTATTGTATACTGCTGTTTCCATTAACTACTGTATGTATTAACTTTAAGTAGACATTTCATAATGGGTATTTATTGTTCTTTGCTTGGAAAATGAATTCTTTGTAATTGTACGACACACTTAATATTTGAAGATGAATACTTGAGCTCTGCCCAGGCATGGAGGCATGCCTGCTTTCTTCTCAGCCTAAAGCCATAGTAGGAGCTGTGGTGGTGGCAGCAGTCAAGAGCAGGCCCTGGCTGGTTGCTCCCCCACCCTCCTAGATGGAGGTGCATAGGGGGCGGTGGCAAGATCTGTGAGCCAGTCTAAGGAGATGGCCTGCTGTCGCTTCTGGTAGGAGTGGGGCGTCGAGGCAATTCCACCTGGCTTAATCAGTGCTACTCCACTACCATAGGCTTCCCCAGAGCCAGTGGCTTTGTTGCTTCTACGGACCTCTGTATCAAAACACGAAAAAGTGTCAGCTTTGCAGCCTTAGGCTAATGAGTCCTGATAAAAAGCTTGAGTTTTAGAACCCTGATTTAGAAGATTCTAAGAATATTTTCTTTGTAGTCGCTTGTAAAGTCTGAAAAAAACATTTTATATCCTAGGGATAGGTAACATGATCCTCATAGGCACAGAAGTTCTAGCAGAAATGTGCTAGCAGACAAATGTCAGTTTTGTTCTAACTTAAAGATCCCATGTTGCAAAGTAAAACATCAGTCTCTAGCACTTAGACCTTTTTTTAAAAAAATACTGCATTTCAGTATGAACTGTTCCTCTATATTAAAACATTTACTGTGATTCTGTTTTACGAAAATCATAGCAAATAGATGATAAAATCTTCCTCACTTTTGTGACTACCTGAGATCTTAGGAATTATTCACCTTTAAATCATTGTCTTTTTTACTAAAGGACAAATTTATTTACAGGTCTGAACAAGTTAATATAATTTCAAGATTTCCAAAGTAGGTTGGCATAGCATATCAATTATTTAATTGGTACCTGGTAAGTAACACATTTCCATATTAAAATCTGAGACTGCATTCCTATCAGTCTTTGTAATTTCTGACAATTTCTGGAAGTGTTACCTCCAAAGCACAAAATGAATGCCTGTTGACATCGTACATTTTATTATCCTTAGTTTTATTTCATGATATCCAGAAAAGAGGGAAAAAACCCACAAAAATGAAAAAGGGGGAAAAACACGAAGAGAAAGGAAATAACAGAAGTGTATTATGTTGCATATAGAGAATCATTCAGCCTAATTTTCCAACACTTCATTAAGTCTTGATTACATTGATAGCCAGCTCGTAAATGGAAAGCAAATACGTATTGATGATCCAAGACTATAAATCTGGGAGTTGCTTCTCTCTATTGAAAAGTAATTTTTTTGTGTCTCTCGCCCCCTCCCCCTGGATTAACCTGTAATTCATGCATTTCCAAATGTTTGTTACATGATATTAATATATTGATGGGAGAGTAGTGGGAAAATCTTAGGAGTTAAATGTCCCTTCACTACTAAATAGTGAAGTTACTAGTCAACCATTTTCAAACATTCTCTCTGTGGTGTCCAGTAAATGTGAAAAATAATCATTTTTGGAATTTATACTGACTTTTAGATGCTGGTAATGCATGTGAACCTAATTATGAAATTGACATGTTTTAATGGAATATGCTATTTTGCAATTTTAGGAACTAAGTCAAATGGTTTAAAAACTTGATTGGCAATAAGCTGATCTCAACAATATGCCTACTTGCCTATAACTTCCAAGGAAATAATAAGATTGACCTATTTTGAAACTGATTATCCCACCAGGTAAATTCATCTGGTGAATGAAGACTGAAATTATTTTTCTGTCCCAACTTCTTAAGGTGCTTTGCAACACTCAGTGCAAGAAATACAATGGAATTATGACTGAAAATAAAAGCTAAGCCCCTGGCATGATGCCAAAGGAGTCAGGCAGTAACTTTCTAGTTGTGTTTATGATTGTTTTTTAACTTGACCACTTGCATTCCATGAAGAAATTGAAGTCAAAACATACGCCTAGTGATAAAAGTTGGGAAAACTGAAACTCAACTGTAATTTAGATACAATCTAAGGTTTTGTCCTTCCCATAAAAATCAGTATCAATCTGCTTCAAATAATAACTCTATATTTGTGTGTGTGCGCATCTTATTTACAATTAGAAAATAAATGTTCTTGATTTAATTATTCCATCATTTAAACACATTGAACAAGCAATAACTGAAAGCCAACTACTACAAATTTCCATAAAAACATTAGAACATATATGAAGTATATAAAGCTTACTTCAATTAATTGAATAACCTGGAAATTATTGATTCTGATACAGAAAATATGTAACTACTGATGAGATAATGTATTATTGGCATATAATAAATTATGATTTATATGCAACTCCAGCTAGTTATAGTGTCAAACTGAGTCATAAAGGGCATCCTTGATGAATTCTACAAGGCATCTTAATAAACGAGATAATTGTATTAATATAATAAAAGAGAGTACCACATATTGGTTCAATTGATAAAAAAGGAGAAAATCTCTATTTAGGCAATATTTATTTCAAAACTTTCCACGGCACCACATCTAAGGCCTTTTCCATATCCACCTAAACTTGTGATCCTTCCTACATCCACCAAAGGAATCTTGGATGCCTGTATATCACATCCTTATTTTGTGTGGTTTATGTGTATTTGATTAACATCTTTCAAAGAAGATGGAGCTTTCTCTAACTTGTTAATTACTAGAGAGGGTGATAACGCTTCATTCCTACTGCAACAGCCACTTTATGAAAGCACAAAATGGTCTCAAAATTGCAATTATGCATACCCATGGTGTATTTATATACTAATATGGGCAGCAAATTTA